GGAGGAGGACTGAGTTTACGGCCTCCAAACCAAGATTCTTAGTGCGTCAAGATGGTTTCAACTGTGGCAGTTCGCGTCTCCTTGCTTTCCGCCTTTGTCACGCTGCCCTGCTGTCCTTCCCATACCCCCCGTCGAGTCGCTGCTGGGACGCGCGAGGCTTGTCACTAGTCTCGCGAGCACTCGAGGCCAATCAACGCCGCCCCTTCTCTGATTGGCTGGCGACACTAAGGTAGAGCGAAGGGCACACACGCGCTGGGGTCTATGCACCTCAACGGCGGACGCAGACAACACAACCGACTTGGAGGGCACGCTTGAGGCGACTACTTGTAGAGTTTTGTGTACGCACTGCCTCAGCAGCAAAGGTTGTCCAACCCAACCCATCTTATCTGGATTCTGATTAGGGAATCTTTGTCTGTCGACCACACCACTTCCGACACAACCACTTCAAATCCATCACAGTGAGGAATATGCTGATGTGCTGTGGGGATGTGGGTTTCAGAGTCGGCCTCATTTCCCCTTTCATACATCCGCCGATTGTCTTAGCCTGTAAGCCAACCGGTGGTGGGATCGGGCCCAGCGGCCGACCCGGGGTGAAGGCTGCACAGAACACAACCTCTGGCACACGTGAACACTTTTCGTCTCCTAAATCGAGGTGGATGCAGCCTCGTTCACCAGCAATCGCCGGACTACATCTGCATGAAGAAATGTGATCACCATGACGTCTTAACGACAAAGGCTGTTGGCCCTGCGGAATGCTGAACAGTCCACGGCTCAAAAATGAGATAGCAGCTTCCCCTCCTGTAGGCGGTAATCTCAACAGGAAGAAGCACCAAGTTATATGTGAACATCGTAATATTAGATAGGACCTAAGACAGTCCGGATTTCAACAACCGTGCGAACAATAAGCTGGAAAAACTACAGGAAGGAGGAGGAAGGCGGTGACGCCTAATTTAATTGTTAAAACAGCCAAGCGAGATCGTGTGAGGTGCTCAAGGCCGAAGGTCCCCGGGATCTAAAAGGCTCCCTCCCACTCCAATTCATTCGGACTCTTGGCGTGCCTAGTGAAAATAATTTGGCATTGCGACACCGTTCCTCCCGTCTGCGTCCTGCGCAGCTCGACTACTCGCTGACTTGACTACAGTCCTATTCGCGCGCGCTCACGCATGCTGGCATGCACGCACACTCCACACATGCCCAGTCTTGCCTTATCCAAACATTTTGTGTGGACCGTTATCGCAGCAGAGTGGCGCAGTGGAAGCGTGCTGGGCCCATAACCCAGAGGTCCGTGGATCGAAACCACGCTCTGCTAGCTATTTTTTCTCCATTCACAATGTGTCAGAATCCACCGAATACCACCGACAGTTGTGAGCTGAAGGGCTGTGCCGAAGAAGAAAAACTCGCAGAAGCAGTCCATAAATTGTTGACTAGGAATTAAGTCCTGCCTTCCGTACGGCTTGCCTCTCTTTTGAGTGAGGCAAGGAGAGAAATGCAAAAAGAAATTGAGGAAGAGGACGAGGTCGACCAGACTGACACGAAATGGGAGAAACTGCGTGACAGAATCAACGCCCCTGTTTCAGACGCACTGGGATGTGCCAACTCAGGCAACATCACGGCAAGATGTGACGACGATGCGATGCACCCGCGCGGGCCTTCGTCAAACAGATTAAGGACGTCAACGCATACGACGGCTGTGAACGTTGTACAACCGTCGGGACATACGTTGGAAAAGTTGTCTACCTAGAGGAAGGAGAGAAGGACAGGAAGGATGATGACTCTACAGGACAGGAAAGTTGTCAACATGTATTAGGGGTGTCCCCCTTTATCCGTTGTAATTTGGGTTTAGTGTGTAATTTTCCTCTAGATCCACTGCATCTTGTATATTTAGGTGGGTTAGAAATTACCGGTCTAAGGCTATTGGCCAGACGCAGTCGTGCACACTGCGTTCATCGCAAGTTGCGACAAAGTAGTCTGTGTAAAGAACATATTTGTAGACAGAGCAGGACAGATTCTACTAGTATACAGCGAATTCACTAACATCGGTGATTACTTCCTGTATCCTGCAGAGTCATCAGCCATACAGGTGTACACAGCCGATATCTCGGAAACAATTGATCGTCCTATCCATGGACAATGCTCGTTGACGACAAGACGTCCATCCAAGTAAATTTCCGAGGAAAAAAAACTAAGGAAGGCCTGTGCGGTTCACAGGTATACGAGTTTATAAAGGGTAGGCCCTTGCTTACATGTAACTCTGCATGGCAAACAGACGTTTATGTCGCCTGGAACAAGGGAGGAAGGGTCGATGCATATGAACTCGAGGCCGCCTTCACAAGGCGGTTGAAGAGATCCCTCGACGCGCTTCGAAAAAGGCGATCTCGGCCGGATTCTCTTATTGATGACTCTGATGGTAAGTGAAACTGAAGTATTATTACACATACTTGGTTTAGAACCCTCAACAGAACCCTCCTCGTCCCGGCCGCGAGAGGAATAGTGCCCAGAATAATTGTATTTTTTATTTGTTCAATAAATCGTTATTTCTACTTCGTCAAAACGCCTTCCTTCAACTTTCTTGGGGGGGGGGGGAAGGGGGGTACCGTAGTTCGTTTAGTACTAAATCGGATGGGTGGTGCGAAAAAGGGCTTTCGTAGGTGCCAAAACGGAAAGGTCGCTAAGGAATGCCGTCCCGCAGCTGCATAGCGCCGTATCGCGACTTTTCGCCATTGCTTCCATAGCGACCACATGGACAAAATCCGCTGTAAGTCGGTCATTGTATCGCGACTTTTCCACAGCGAGGCGCCGTCACCTCGCTATGGAATTGCTACTAGAATATATTCTAGAATATTCTGTGTGTAGCATCATATATTTTGACAGTTGCCTGTCAGCCGATGCCCGCGTGGCCTAATGGATAAGGCGTCTGCCTCCTAAGTAGAAGATTGTGGGTTCGAGTCCCACCGTGGGTGTACATTTTCGCAGCGAAAATGTGCACTCTATTTCCTTATCTATTAGAGTCAACGGTGATAAATGGACGATTCAGGAAATGGACATTAAATGCGTACAGAAAAAAGGCCAAAATCCAAATGTTTGAAGTATTAACAAATATGTGCACACCATGTAAGTAGTGTAGAACACCAACCAGTTCACGTACACACCTGCTACTGGAAAAGTGACCCGACATCACTTGTTTTCAAGATCTAGTGCAGTGTTATCAGTGTCGGGCAATGACGTGGACGTTGCAAATATACTCCGTAGAAAAGGTTACTGAAATACGTGTGTATTTCAGTAACCAGTAGTTGCAGTACTACTGTACGTACAGTATACTGTGTGATATATGGATCTCGGACAAAATCGATATCTAATAGATATAAGTATCTCGGAAAATAGATATCTAATAGAGATCGTCTCAATATAGTTTCCTATTATAGTAGATTCGACTGGGATTCGTATACGATAAGGAAATTCGCCGTCTTCTTCTCGAGAAAGACCTGCGTCAACGACAGAGAAGTTGTATTCTTTAAGTGTTACTCTCGAATGCGACAGGAAGATGGTAAATGGTGAATCGTATAGCAGATTAAGGTAAATGCAAAGACATGCGTATTTTCAGTGTCGAAAACGTCTGTGGATATGCAAGATGACTGTCTGCCTAATAAGATCGAAGAAATTCAGAGATATGCAGACCGCAGGATCACGAAGAACTTCTTTGAAGCGGTCGAGGTGTTGTTGCTGCTAAACTGTTTGCTCGAGATTCTCTCGGTCGCCTGACGGCACGTCTTGAAAAATGGTTACTTTCCGAAACAGATTGCCGGTTTCAAAAACGACCAGGAACCACCGACGTGGTTTTCATGTCTCTCTAATTGCCATCAATGTCAAGAAAGAAAAACCAGTCGTCTCATGACTTTTTTTAGAAGCTGACAAAGATCCTTGACACCATGAACCGCGAGGGAATCTGGAAAGTCAGGCTGCCATTCAGACCTCCGAAACGACTGACGCAGATGGTTAGAAAACGGCCTAGCAGCGTGGTAGCGCGTCATAGGCAGCGTGACAGGCTCGGAGGGATTGGGAGCATGGCGCGTGTTAACTGGGCTGTATGCAGAGTTCGCGCATCCGACAGTTCGGCCGTTGCTACTGGCGATGTCCCATTGCCGCCAGGTAGTGGGTCAGGCTCGGAAGCATGAATCAACAC